TGTACTCAGCACATATATTAAGTTTTTTTGAAATACCGTTAAGATTAACATTAATTGACACCCAAATATCTTCGCATTCACTTTCGTATTGTAATAATCTATAAGAATGTAATTCATGAGATACTGCTACCAGAACACCACCTCCCTCCAACTTAGAACGTTTGCCAATTACCAGGCAATCTCGTCTGTAAACAAAGTACCTAGAGTCAAACAATTCAGTATCAAATATATTGTAATTAAGCCAGGTTTCGGTAAAAAAGATTACATCGTATGAGCATTGCAATATGTTGCTATACAAATTATTGGTTTTGGTTCTTAAACCACGAGTATTTTGATAACAAAAAGTAACACACAGTAAGTGTGAAACACCACAACACTGATAAGCAAACAGAAAAATGAATACACTATACAATCATTTTGATGCTGTCTAAGTCACGAATTAGTAACGCCTGACTCGTTTCATCTCTTCTTACGTATACTCGTCCATTTCAAACCCAAAGTGTAAGACATCGCTTTGGCTGCGGCGTGTAAACACTTATTGGTGCGCGTTAAATGTTCAGCTACAAATACTGGAGCATTCTTCCCTGCCAAACCGAGGTGATGCGATCCCAATTTGTTTTCTCGGTTCTTTTATTAAAATTATGAACCGCAGCTAACAATACATCCCGTTGGCGAGGGCTTCGCAGCTTGGCGACGATCGTGCGAGGTCGCTTATCTTCTTTGTTCATCTTTGCAATACTTGTAACTTGCATAATGTCACTGTATGTAACCGGAGCGTCAACAGTCCTACATAGTTGCATTAAGCAGTTGGCAAGGTTCTCATTACGATGTTCAGGGACACCGTTAATTTCTACATTGTTTTCTCGCTGGTGCTGCTCTACCAATGTCAGACGAGTTGATAAGTCCCTGACTGTGGAATGTAAATTTGTTTTTTCACTTTGGAGCCTGTCGATGATCTTGGTACTTTCCTCTTGAAGCTGTTTCAGATTTTCGTGTTGGTCATTTAAGAAAGACAACGAGTCATGAAATTCTGAGATTTGTGTCGTTATCTCCCTCAATCCTTGTGTTACGGCATCGGAAACTACACGCTCAATTGTTTTTGTCATGTTCTCCTTAAAAGTTGCCAAAATATCGCGCAATACGTCCTCAGTAACCGGCGCATCACTCTTTGATTGGGTAGGTTTATACCCATGAACAAGAGCACCGTCAACCACAGTCATTGTGGTAGTCATCACAGCGACTGCACGGGTTTGCCCACGAACTGGTGTGTTGTCGTTTTTCGGACGCCGTGAGACGCTGCTACAAGTAGGACATATCGCGGTGCGCTCCAGATCGGACTGGTTGTCTTTGTATTCGGCGGAAGTTATGTTTAGGCACAGATAGTGATAAAAACTTTTGCAACAGGAGCAACTTATCTGTTCTCCCACCTTTATATTTTTGTTGCAAGCCAAGCACTTCATTTTCTTGTGGTATTAACAAAAAAAAAACAGAAAAAAAAGAACAAAAACAACAAAAAGGAAAAAAAACGTTAGCAGAGGATCGAAGCCGGGTCCCCGCGCAGAGTGACCGGTGTGAGAACGAACTGCACTAGCGATGTCCGTAACGTTGTCGGCGAATTTTACGCACTCAATATGTGGTCGAATGACGTGGAGTAGGCAAAACTCGAAATCTATTGTTCGCTAATGACCGGTCAAAGTCCATTTCGCTGCTAACGCGGCACTTTAACGTCCAAAATTTAAGAGTACTGCTCTTGACTTAGTTCACTACAGAGTATTATAGTTACTTCAGGGATGAGATAAGCTATGGAAACCTATAAGTTTCGTCGCTGGGAATCAACTTTTTGCGCACTTTTTAAATTTAAAATCGAAGAACACTCTAACGCACGTCAGTCTTAGATCTAGTCGAAGGTAGTGAGTAAATCAGAACGGTTTCACGACGTCGATATTTAAATACCTCTTTACGATTTGTCGTGATGCTAGCTAGCGATAAACTGCAATCATTCATACTACTACATACATATATTACAAAGATCTAGAGACACTGCACCCACAAGCACCCGTCACCTGAGACATAAGTTGACAAGTCTCATTGTGCTTGTGATTCTCCAGCATCCTTACCCTTAAAAACCGGAACGCAATAATGCTCACCTCACTGTACTGTACTACACTGTACTTCCCTGGACGAACTCTTTCACAAGGAACTCTACTGCTACGAAATATAATATTAGGTACTGCTAGTAATAGTCAGGGTAATGGAGGGAAAAATATACCTACTTAAATACAATAAAAAATTCTCATTTTCGTAGTATTGTGCTAATGGTATTAAAATCTTACTAACGTGTGGCGCACTATAAGTTTCCGGAATGAATAAGAAAAAAATATTATAAATGGTCAGAAATGAATTTATTGTTCCTCAAAATATTCTCCGTTAGCGTTAATGCACTTTTTCATACGATTAAAACCAATTTTGAAAACATTTATGCCACTCCTCCGTGACAATCTCTGAAACATATTTTTCATACTCTTCGACTGCCTCTTCAGGTGATGAAATCGTTGACCGCGTACTGGTTCTTAATTTTTGTAAATAAATGAAAGTCACAAGGTGCCAGGTCATGGCTCATAAGGTCAACGTTGTTCACCTTCAAAAATTCATTTGTCTGTCTGGCCGTGTGAGAACTGGCATTATCGTGGTGATACGTCGTTTACGGTTATTTTTACGGAGTTTGTCGATAATTTCTCGCAAACAAATGGTCGTGTACCAATCACTATTCACGGTACAACGATTCTCCAAAGCAACAGTAGCCACGTGTCCAGTTTTATTAAAAAAAGAAGCAATCATCCGCTTAGAGGCACTTTGCATGCGCGCCACTTTGGTTGGTTTCGGCTCATCTCGAAAGACCCATACGCTTGATTGCTGCTTTGTTTTGGAATCGTAACTATAAATCCATGTTTCGTCATCTGTTACTATGTCCCACACCAAATTTGACGCCTCTTCGTTGAATCTGGTAAGCATGGCATTGCAATAAGTGACGCGATCCGTTTTTTGAGCCTCCGTCAAATTGTGTGGGATCCATCGAGATCACAGCTTTTTCACACCCAAATGTTTGTGCAGTATTGATTGTATTTGACTCATGCCTATGCCTAAAGGTGCCCGAATCTCATGGTATGTCACACGCCTGTCTGTTTTGATCATACGGCGCACAGCATCGAAGTTTTTGTTATTCACAGCAGTGGCCGGGCGACCATCATGAAATTCGTCACTGAGATTCATAGGACCGCGTTTGATTTCTGCAAACCAGCTACAAATAGTCGTCTTGCAAGGTGCTTCATCGCCAAAAGCAGTTTGAAGCCGAGCGAAGCTCCGCTGAGCTGTTACATTACTCTTAAAGTCGTAGAAAATAATAGGTACTACGAAAATTTTCACGAGTTAAATCCATGGTGATGTCTACATCATTGGTTGTCTACAACCAATTTCTAAAATGACGCTACAATGTAAAAACAAGTGACAGTCCGATGAAAGAAACTGTATTCTACAGCCAAACAGTTCCATTTTCAAATGTTGTAATTAGTTTTTAAATATTGTTTATGTAAGTGGCCACTTCCGGAAACCTATAGTGCGCCCTATGTACTTTATTAAACTATGTAAGTACCTACAAGCAACTGTAAAAATAATACGTTTTACCAAAAGCACAGATTAATAGAACTATACTGGAACTTAGAACTATATTTATTCTATATGCTCCATTTTTAATCAAGTATGACGCTGAGGAGTAGGTACTCCGAGCTAGAAATTCCAGAATTTTACCGACCTTGCTTTATAAACAAATACACCACTCTAAGGTCTGCATAATAATACTTACTATAACCAAAATCCACACACTGTACCACTCTACAAGGCGGAGCCCGAGACGCCGACAGACGACACCCACGGGACCACTCAGCCCGCTCGCCAACTTCAAACTCCGTGTGACTCAGTTTTTCCCATCGATACAATTTTCCGAAGGCTATTCGACAATTTTCTTAAGAAAATTGTCTCGAGTACTTACATTTTTTGAAATAATATTTTATTAAACCATATTCGAAGGTT